CATATATATATATATATAATACATACATGTAAGTTAATACTATACGCAAAAGCCCTAAGTCATCAGTCGAACATTTATACAAGATCTTAATATATTGGGGTAGGCACAACAAAATTAAGCAACCACCAGTATGACTCGCTACTAACTGCACAAGTCATCCAACTAATTTTTTCTTACTTTCATGAGGAATTATGATCATCACAGTCTTAACTACAAGGAAAACACAAGATAAGCTTGTGAAAATAATTTAACATATAAGCACAATGTCAACATCAATTACAAAACTTATAACATTTCATTGTACAACTTCATTTGTTCATTGGTTACAACATACACAACTTACAACATAATACAATAAAATCAACTTCATTTTAGCAAAATTTTAAACATGAATAATAATAAACAATTGAATGCGTCATCAGGCATATGAATTACAAATACCTCCTGCAACTGAGGTAAACAATATAAGTAGCTAACCTCTACCAAATCACAACCACAAATACAAACTAAAATAACGATTGAAACCATGGTTAAAAACAACAATTAACATAAAGCTAGAAACAACAACTAACACAAACTAGATTGAATTTTTAGATTTTACCACTTAAACTACGATGTCTAGTACTATTGTCAATGTAAAATAATTTGAGTATGAGTCTACTATGACATTAGTCTATAATACTAAATCACCTATGAAATTAGTTCACCAATACGAAGTTATAGACTAAGTCTTCAACTTGGTATTTTACTTAATTTGTTGTTTTATACATGTATGACTCAACTTTACCCACATACAAATATCACATAAAACTTAAAGGGGACAACTGAAAATAACTTACTCATTCATAAGCAAACTTACCTACTGAAAGGTTTTAATCGGGCTCTCAGAACATCGCAACATATATTCATATAATTGGATATTCAAATTTCACAAACAACTCTACTCCCTATTTTTTATGTATCGTAACTAAGACATGTATCTAATCTACATGCTTATAACTTATCAACTTAACAAATATAGTAGCATACAACTTTATCAACCTTCAACACATCAACTTATAACTTAAAAACATAAATATATTATCATACATCATTCATCTTATCATTGAACATCATAACATCACAAATCATGTATGAACCTGCAACAAATAGTTTCATCATCATATCTCATCATACACATAACTTATTCATCATCATTTAATTACAAAAAGGCTAAAAACCTATTTTGGTCCCTTATAATAATTGTTTGTTTCAATTTAGTCCCACTTTTATTTTTGGTCTCAATTTGGTCCCTAATAAATTAATTGGTTGCAATGTCGGGCTTTCGTCCAAATTATTTAAACGGAGTTAACTGTTGGTCACGTGGATGCCACGTGGATGTCACGTAGATGCATAGGTAGATGCCAAATTTCATTAATGCATCTGGAACCAGAACGACCCGTTCTGGTTCCAGAATGCCAAACACAAACGGTCGATGATTATAGTTAACGGTTGTGAATTGTGCAAGGAAAAAGACCCAAGGTACAAAGCATTTCAAACACTTGATTTGGTAATATTGTCAATGGGGATTGATAACTTCAATTGCTAAACATTTGGGTTATACAGTGTATCATTAAGGACAATGCAGTGTATCACTAACGGTAGCAAGTTTTATTTCATTATTGGTCAAACTAGAGTGAATCACTTATTACCAAATTGATACTATACAGTCAATGATGAAACGACATGGTATTTTCCCTTGAATTCATTGACCGGTCATTGATTGATGTACCCCAACAACAACAACCTGTTCTTGAGGAGGTACAACCTAAAATAAAAGAAGAGGATACACAAGACCAACATTTCACCACACAACCACATGTACAGGTAGATAATGTTGATATCCTATCAGCCATTCAGTGTTATATGGTGGATAAGATGTATTATTGATACCTTCAGCGTTATCTAGATGATTTCCCTTCTCAGTAATTTCTTTGAACTTTTTTAGTATATGTTATGTTATGTTATGAATTTTTGTTTTCAGTCTCTGAACCATATTTCTGTCTTTGAATTTATGATATGTTTTGAATTTTTATTTTCAATTTTTGAATCACATTGTGGCATTTTGTTGAACATATGTATGTGGTTGACGTTTTGGAATGGCCTGTTCTGAATCCAGAATGACCCGTTCTAAAACCAGAATGGCCCATTCTGGTTTCAGAACGGCCTGTTCTGCTATACTCGTGGTGTGTTAATTTTGTATATGGAACGACCCATTCCAAATTCAAAATTAACACACAACATGTGCAACCAGAACGGGCCGTTCTGGCTCCAGATGCATTAATGAAATTTGGCATCTACCTATGCATCTACGTGGCATTCACGTGGTCAACAGTTAACTCCGTTTAAATAATTTGGACGGAAGTCCGACATTGCAACCAATTAATTTATTAGGGACCAAATTGAGACAAAAAAAAAAAGTGAGACTAAATTGAAACAAACAATTATTATAAAGGACCAAAATAGATTTTTAACCTTACAAAAACTCTTAAACATCACAGTGTTCACTTTTACAACTTGGGTTTGGCACAACTTAAGGGTTGTCTACCGCCACTAAGGCAAATGACTCCCTGTCTCTCTCATGTTTGACGCTATCCAACTCGAATCCAACGTGGGTTAGGCAAGGACCCCTGGGATCTCACATTTGGCATGGTAGTAGCCCACACTCAACCTCACGTCAATCCAAGTCAATTCTCTTTCTTCAAGTCCATGCCATTTAAACCACATCTAACACTATTTCAGTCTGAAATAATTCTCTCTCCTCACATTCGACGCCACTAATCATGTGTTTGGTGTAAGTAAGACAAAGTGTTTTTGGTTGAACCATACCTGCTAGCACCATAAAGGCAAGTTGCAAAACTAAAAATTCAACCAAAACACTTGAAATTTCCACGCATAACATGCAACCAACAACACAACATGTATACATCATATATAGTCCAAAAATAGCTTAAAACACCACATACAACTATAATCAATCAAGAATCAACATCTTCACTTATGCGCCCCTTTAAAACTTCAAAACATACACAATTCATCAATGCCATCACTCAATTCCTTATAATAAGCAACACCAATGGATTCAAACAATCACATTATCAACATGCAATCCATGAAATCAACACAATCTTCCCTTACTTCTCGAAGAATTGAATCAGTAAGAGGATAGAAGAGGAAGAAAATGACTTCGTACGACCCTGACTCAAAATCTTCAACTACCCAAGCTCAGATTTCATGTTCAACAATTATGGATCAACTACAAAAGGGTAAAGATTAGAGTTTTCAATACAAATAGAAGGAGAAGAAGATTTGTTTTAGAGAATCTTTCTTTAACCTCTCTCTAGAGTTTTATGAAAACTTGAGTTATGAGCTCACTTCTAAAAAAAATCTTGTGTACTTTTTTTTGAGTTGGTCAAACTTATCTCTAGTTCAACTGCCTAGAAACCAACTTGACTATTAGAATTCCTTAACTCTTGAGATCTTAACAACACTACTAACAACAATACATATGTAATAAAAAAATTAGAATACAAAATCAACAATGTTACATAGAGAATTTCATTGTTTATCTTCTTTTAATATCACAAATTCACAATCTTACTTTGCTCAAATGCGAGGCTTTATTTTATTGAGTCTATCTAGTGTAATTCACTAAAATTATGATGAAGATATAATATTATAGAACTTTTTATTTTCACATACCACATGTTAATTGCATATTTATAATTATAAATTAAAATTCAACATTAAATTATTTATCAAATATTAAATGATAAAATTAAAAAATTACTTAAAGAAGAATGTTGTTGATATGCTCTCTCTTACAATATTTTTTTAGAATTTTTTATTATTAATTAAAATTTATTAAAAATCATAAATTTTGTGAATCATGCATCTAAATTATGAAAGTCATTAAATGAGATGTGACAACGAGGAGAGATAAGATGGGGATGAGAAAGTATGTGACAACTTTGTTTGTGACACAGAAGTAGAAAAACATATTCATCGTAGTTAGAGTTTGTCAAGAGAGAAAGTAATAAAGAAGGGTAAAACAAGAAAAAAAAATGAAGAAATAAAAATAAAATTCTCACATTTTTTTTTGTCCACGAATATAATTCATATATTGTCTAAAAGCTGACATATAAACATTAATATATATTTTTATAAAATCTCAACCTTTCATTTCAAAGTTAACTCATCCTATAGTAAAAAAAATTATGATAAGTTCTCCCAACTTAACCTCTCAAAATTGATTTTAAAGATTTTCAACATAAACCATTCATTTAAATAAATAAGTCATGTTTACAAACCAAACTTAAACTTTAAATTTTTAATTTAACTTGAAATATTTACACATTTATATATAATAATCAAAACTAAAATTAATTTATATACAATGAAAAGTTGTCCACATAGACATGACCTAATATTCTTCTTTCACAAAAAAATACCAATTAAATGTTACTTTAAACATAGTTAACTCCGCTAAAGTAAATAACTTATTAATATATGGGTCTCGCTTTATATTGTCCTTAGTTAAGAAATTAATATCTCGGAATTTATTATTGAAAATTAATTAAAGTTAGTTATTATGTTTGTAATAAAAAATTATTTAACTCCTTAACTATTATTCTTAGTACACGGTTAACATTTTCCTTAATATAATAGCACACGTTTATATTCATTTATAATGTAAATCCAAAGTAATATTAACATGTCATCCCTGTCTCATCCATTTATTTGAAATTTTTACACGTTGATTAAAGATTATAATAAATATATTACTTTTTATACAGTTTTATCAAAATAATCTACTATATCAATAAATTACATTACTTTTAATTATATTTATTAAATAATTTATAAATGAGTAGAGTATATTAAAAAGTGAGAATATTTGAGATATTTTTCAAATATTAAAACCGTAAGAACAAATGTCAATGATTAGACTAGCCCGATCTTGAAAACACTTCCAAATACGGCATGACGGCTTTTGGATGATAGCGTGGCAAACTCAAATTTTTTAATTCGAAATTGGCTTAATGCGATGCTCTGTCTCTGCTCCAATTTTCATGGAATGCTCGATTGGGTATTCCCCAATGTTCAATCCACCCACTTCTCATTTACTCTTCATGCCCATCTCCCAAGTTCAAATCTTTCCTCCAAATTCTGCCACCCCGCAACCACTTCAACTCATGAAAGGCCATGGACGATGCCCCAAAGAGTTTCTAGTGGTAGAACGCATGGCTCAGTGCCTCAAAGGGGGAACATTGAGGAGGAACCTGTGTTATTGAAGGTGAATAGCAGGCACATGCTTAAACATTATTCTTCCTTGTTGGGTGATTGTACTTTGAGAGAGGCTTTGAATGACGGCAAGGCCATTCATGGACACCAGTTAAAAAATGGGGTTGAGCCAGATTCTCATTTTTGGGCTTCGCTGATTAATTTTTATGCAAAATGTGGCTACCCCTCTTATGGACGCCGGGTGCTTGATGAAGTGCCTGAACAAGATGTTGTCTCCTGGACTGCGTTGATTCAAGGTCTTGTGGCTCAGGGTGATGGCCGGGAAGGCATTCATTTGTTTTGTGAGATGAGAAAGGCGGGGATAAGGCCGAATGAATTCACAGTGGCTACTTGTTTGAAAGCTTGTTCTATGTGCTTAGATGTGAGTTTAGGGAAACAGGTTCAGGCAGAGGCGGTTAAGGTTGGTTTGTTATCTGACGTCTTTGTTGGGTCTGCACTGGTTAATCTGTATGCTAAATGTGGGGAAATGGACCTCGCTTGTAAGGTGTTCTTTGACATGCCCGAGCAGAATGAAGTGTTGTGGAATGTTTTGATTAATGGGCATGCTCAACTGGGTGATGGAAAAGCAGTCTTTAGATTGTTTTGCCAAATGTTAAAATCAGAAATACAGTTCAGTAAATTTACCTTGTCCAGTGTCCTCAAGGGATGTGCAAAGTCGGGGGATTTAAGGGATGGCCGCCTAGTGCATTGTTTGGCAATCAAAAGTGGTTGTGAATTAGATAAGTTCTTGGTTTCCAGTCTTATAGAGCTGTACTCCAAGTGTGATTTGGTAGGTGATGCACTCAAACTTTTTTTTAGGATCACGCATCATGATGTAGTTTCCTGGAGTACAATGATTGCTTGCCTTGATCAGCAAGGGCATAGCCAAGAAGCAGCAAAGCTATTTTTCTTGATGAGACATACAGGTGTTGAACCAAACCAATTTACCTTCACAAGTGTTGTTAGTACCGCCACTGAATTGGGGGACTTGCATTATGGAAAATGTATCCATGCCTGTATTTTTAAATATGGGTTTGAATCTAATACCTCGGTAAGTAACGTACTTATCAGGATGTACATGAAATGTGGTTATGTGCATGATGGTGCTCGTGTATTTGAGGCGATGACAGGACGAGATCTTGTTTCTTGGAATACTCTATTGTCTGGATTTCATGATTACGATTCCTGTGAAATGGGACCTAGGACTTTCTATCAAATGCTTGTGGAAGGTTTCAGGCCCAATATGTATACATTTATCAGTGTTTTGAGGTCTTGTTCTAGCCTCTTGGACATAGATTTTGGGAGGCAAGTTCATGCTCAAGTTTTGAAAAATAATCTTGATGGCAATGACTATGTTGGGACAGCCCTTGTGGACATGTATGCCAAATGTAGGTGTATGGAAGAATCATTTGTAGCTTTTTCTGGTTTGGTCAGTCAAGATGTCTTTACATGGACAGTAATGATAACCGGTCATACCCAAACTGACCAAGCAGAGAAGGCCATTGAATTCTTCAATTTAATGCGGCAAGAAGGAATAAAGCCCAACGAATTCACTGTTGCTGGCTGTTTAGGTGGTTGTTCCCAAATAACTGCAACTGAGAGTGGAATGCAGCTTCACTCGATGGCAATTAAGAGTGGACTTCTGCCTGATATATATGTATCCAGTGCACTCGTTGATATGTATGCAAAATGTGGTTGCATAGAAGATGCTGAGGCTATTTTCAAGGGGATGGTTAAACGTGATACAGTCCTGTGGAATACTATGATATGTGGATTCTCTCTGCATGGCCAGGGTGATAAGGCTCTAGAGACCTTTCAGGCAATGAAAGATGAGGGCACCTTACCAGACGAGGTTACTTTTATAGGTGTCCTTTCTGCATGTAGCCACATGGGTCTAATTGAAGAAGGGAAACAACACTTCAACACCATGAGCAATGTTTATGGCATAACTCCAAGAGGTGAGCATTATGCTTGTATGGTTGACATTCTCAGTCGTGCCGGAAGATTTGGGGAGGTTGAAAGCTTTGTTGAAGAGATGAAACTAACATCCAATGCCTTGATCTGGGAGACTGTTTTGGGTGCATGTGCAAAGCATGGGAATGTTAAATTTGGTGAAAGGGCTGCTGAAGAGCTCTTTAAGCTTAAACATGAGACAGATTCAACATACATATTACTTTCTAATATTTTTGCTAGCAAAGGTAGGTGGGAAGATGTAAAAAAGGTAAGGGCCCTGATGTCTAGCCAGGGTGTGAAAAAGGAACCTGGATGTAGCTGGGTAGAAATTAGCAATAAAGTACATGTCTTTGTGTCAGGTGGTGTACATCCAAACATCCAGGAAATTCATTTGAAACTGGAGGAGCTTGGTCAAAAACTTAGATTGGTGGGTTATGTCCCACAAATTGAACATGTGCTTCATAATGTTCCAGAAAAAGAGAAAAAAGGACATCTTAATCATCATAGTGAGAAGTTGGCTCTTGCTTTTGCCCTTATAAGCAAAAGCCATATGAAAAGAATCAAGATTTTTAAAAACCTTCGCATTTGTTGTGATTGCCATAATTTTATGAAGCTTGTCTCAGACATCACAAATCAAGAAATAGTCCTTCGTGACATTAAGCGGTACCACCATTTCAAGGGTGGATCTTGTTCCTGTCAGGACTATTGGTGATTTGGCTCTGCAAACAAGTCCACTAGACTAATATTCAAGTAGTTCCCTGCTTCGTAAAGAACTGTGTGGGCACTTCCATTTCGTTTGTGTTGTTGAGGAGAGATATATAACTCTGAGAAGGTACTGACTGTTGGGATTATCTTACATATTACATGTTTGTATTTAAGAACTTCCCAACTTCAATCCCCATTGCTTTCAGGGACACAACAGGCACACAAGCATTACTCAGTCATTTTAAACTTATATAAATGGAGAAAATCAGAAAAATTTTAAGCACTATAATTTATAACGTGTTAATTAGCCTATTTCAATGCTCAGGTCTGACATATCTTATGTGACTTGTAAAATTTAATAAATGGTTTTAGATTGAACTTCCTTTAGAGATATGATGGAATCGAGTAATACAAGATGGGACTAAGGGATTCTGCTGGCTTAGTGGAAGTAAAACTTAAAATCATGCTTAGAAATAATTGGTCAGAAAAATTCCTCATCTGTGATAAATATTTAGTAATGGATGCTGATTCAAGTTAATAAAGGTGGTTTTCTAAGCTTGCTATTATTTTTTTGTTATTTTTTTTACTTCATATTTTAATATCACCTGCCTTACTACTATCCTATAATCAAGCAGAATGAATAAGTTTCATCCATGACCTTTACTTTTTACTGGTACCAATAAGTTTGAACATCCTGCCTGACCTGCAAATGAGTATGTTTCGCAATGCATAGAACTGTAGCTGTTAAATGTATGTGACGTTAACTTTTTGTATCTATTCGACAGAATGATCTTGTTCATGGGGCCTGGACATTTTGCTTGATTATGGAGCACTGGTAATCTCCCTACTCATACTTTATAGATATATATATATTCCTATGTACCTTGCGTAGAAAGCTTTCTGATTACACCGTAAATAGTTCACAGTGGTGTTTCACCTTGTTTATTGCCAATACACAAAATGGGTTGACAATAAAGTGAATAAACAAGGTGATAGACTTAAATACGAAAAAGGGAAAATTTTCATCCAAAAGTGGCAAATTTTCTTAATACCACTAATGTGTTGCGATCACAAACGTATGTAATTAATTTCACTTGAGTGTCCCTGGGGTCCATATTTTCTCATATGGAACATTAAGTTAAAACTATGGTGACATAATGAAAGCAAGAAATTATAGGCAACTCACTAAATAAGTTCAAGAACTTGCGAACAATCTTCAGGATAACCGGTGATTTCTCTGCAACCCCCTTGAGGACAAACAAAGATACCTGCAGTTAATCAATTGAATAATTTCAGTTGAGGAGAGACATTTACTTTATGCATTATGTGAAAAATTCCTAAGGCAAGGTACTTGCATGAAGTTCCTAACAGACTTGGTTGACCATAATTGGCTGTGAGGCCCCTCCATAGAATAGAGCAAGGGTGATACTACCTTTCTTAATTGGCTATGGCTTTCATTGAGTGGTTGATGAATGCATCATAAACAAGCCCTGCTTCTAAGTTCACCAAATCTTCTTCTCCTTTCTTAATTGACTCCATGCAATCTTGGGCCGTGTCTCTTCGGACACTAAAGACATTTCAATTAAATTATCTTCTAAAATAAACAGTAACAAGAGTAAAACAAATATTTAATAATAAAATATGAATTAAACAATATAAATTAAAATTAAATAACAATTAAATGTTATCAAAATAAAAAATGCTAAAAAACCACGTTTAGCCTATTAATTGGTTAAAGACAGTGACAAAGAACGACTCATGCCGCCGTCATTCATCACCGGAGCACTGGCGGAGCTCTCATCTCCACCACCTCCCGCCAAAATTGGTGCTGGAGACTCGTCGTGTCACAACCACCGTCTGCAGCCACAGGCGGAATCTCCGGTGGTGACAGAGGAGGCTCGAAGTCGTGATCAGCACCAGAGCTGGGTGCTGGCAGTGGCTGCAAAAAAGCTTTAAAAAAAAGTGGAAACACGAAGAGACCATGAGAACTTAGAATTTTGTGATGGCGTTGAGAAGATGAGAATTAAGCATGTGATGTATACATTGAATGAAGGGTGATGAGAGAAGGAAGAAGAGAAGAAATGTTGGGATCTGCATATGCAATTCGGGGAAGAAAGTGTGAAGATTATACTATGAATGAAAGAAGGATGTTGCAACACAAGGAACAGTAATATGAACATGCAAGTGCTGTGGTTGTCACCTGCATCTGCATGCATGTTACTCTTAACTTGTGATAAATATTTCCGTTGAAGTTTGACTCCTTATTTATATAGTAAATGTTTTAGACAAAACTATACTCTATTTTTATAACAGAGCTTAAAATTATTTTTTTTTTTCTTTTCTTGCTAAATTTTTTTATTTCGTTTTCTAAACAAATAATATTTGCAGATGAGGACATGAAATATAATGATGATTTTTTTTTTAAAAGAATTGTACGTATACGAGAAAATAGATTATGCATTTACTAATTTAACTCAGTTAAGAAAACTCGTGAGTCGTGACCGAAGTTTATGCCCTTTGCTTAGAATTGGCTCATTGCCCAAAGTTTACACAACGTTTTTATTATTTGGGTTGGGCCCACTACAAGTTTTCACTTTTCACATGTGAGGATTCTATTTTCACCTCTTTTTTTTTTTTTTTTTTTCTCTCCTCTCTCTCCCACTTGCATTTAATTTTAGAAATTAATTTTCAGAAATATTAAAATTTTAAGAATTAATTGTTAAAATACATTCCAGAAATTAATTTATATTTTTTTTTGAAAAATTATAGAATGAAAGATGCAAAAAAAAGGATTATAAATAAGAATCTCCATTTTAAAGAAGCTCACACTATAATGGGTTGGCATTTTGGGTTGGTCCTTTTCTATGGATAACTGGCCTGTGGGCTGTAGCTGTATTTACTATAATGTTCTGAGGTTTCAGTCTGGATTTTGAATTAGAATTGTAAACAACCAAAATAAATAATAAAGAATTAGGATGGTAGCCCCCAAATTATGAAAAAAAAAATTAGAAATCGTTTGTTCTTTTTGGAATGAAAAGAACACTCTTGACTAAGGCATATATATAATCATTTAGAAGTTGTTGGCACTAACAAAAAGAATAGTCCTGATTAAGTTGCATAGATGATCTTTTAAATCTTTTTCTTTTCGTAAGAGAAACAATTTATAGATGCTGTGAGTTCTAGAAATGATGAGCAGTTACGGATTTTTAATTCCCATTGTGTGTATTGGGAAAACCCACATTCCATGAGCAACATATTTGAAGACATGCCCTTGGATTCTGGTAACAGCTACATAAATTATAACTAAAACCATGGTGGAAGTGGGACCTTAATGGGATTCAAGAGAACAAATAATACCTAAAGAAACATTGAAGAAATTAATAATTGTTATTGGAAGAATACTTCATGTATGCTTTCAAAAAAGTTTGTACAATAGATCGAGTTTTCTCTGATTCTATTTACTGGAGTAATATTTAATCAGTTAGTAGTACATTATGTCAAAATGGATATGCCATAATGCGAATAAAATCTGAATCAAGAACATTCAAAGTAACATTTAAGGTGAATAATCCAAATAATGCGAATAACATTCGAAGTAATCTATCCACTCGAAGGACAAAAATATATTAATAAGATTTAATGTGTACCGAGAGTTTGTCCAACTTAAGGAAGTTGATCTCTTTTGAATTTTATCTAAGTGAATAGAATATTTTTCATATATGACCAATACCCAAACTTTTAATTAATTGATAGGGTGTGTTTTAAATTTTTTTAAATTAAATAATGATAAGAATATAATCAAATTATTCATATTTTAATATATATTTTTTTAAAAAATATATTACATTTATTTTGATTTATATGGATGATGTATCTATTATTTTTTTATTAAAGTATTAAATTACACACACACGCACACACACATATATATAAGGAGAAATTCACTTATTAAATTTACCTAAACTTATTTTAATTAATAAATTATGTTTCACATCAATTTTTAACGATCTAATTGTTAAACTAAAAGTTATTAATGCATAAATCAAGTTCACAAAATTTTATAAAATTTAAAAATTATTTGATATTTTATTTCATTAATTCAAATTGATGAATAATCATAAGTACATTTTATATTTTGAATTAATGAAACAAAATATCAAATAATTTTTAAATTTTTTAAAATTTAATACATATCTATATATTAAATTTTTTTAATTTAGTGGTTGAATGATTAAAATTTGATATAGAACATGAATTATTGAATGAAGTAAATATATGTAAACTTACTCTTAGAGAATATATATATA